AGTGCCTAAGATGTCATAACATTTTTTAGGAAATATGTAAATATGTAAATATTGATCTACGACTAAACATGTTTGCAAGAACTGTCTCAATGTAGTTAATATTTTGGTTAAATCAGTGTTTCTATTTTTTTGCAAATTATAACTTTCACCATTGGCATTGATCTGTATCTCAATATATTCGTTTAATATGGACATTTTATATTAGTAAATTCAAAGTTAACTATATAATACATATTTGAAGATAGCAGGCCAAAGAGACTATTTTTTTTCTAATTGACATTGAAACAAATGATTAGCATGCCGCAGTGCTCGTCTAACTCTTTCATATTCATTAATTATTAAGGATTAATTCTGTGAAAATCCAGAGAATGCTTATGATGATGAATTCTTAAGATATACAACTGTTGGAGGAGATAAGAAATGTTCATTAATTTATCATGTATTGAAATACACTATAAAGATCTTGACTGCTATAAATGTCTCCTACTTTTTTCATATAATTACTAAATATTGGTGGAAATGTACATTAACATTTGCCCATTAAAATCCGATTACAATTTTCTAAACTATTACGATTTATTAACCTTGTGCAAGGTTATATACAAATTATTCAAATGCTTTTTATTTGTGGAAGTACTTTATATACATTGCCTGTTTCACATGCATTGCCTCACCTGATCCTGCCAAAAATCTCATGAGAGACAGCAGTTAGTAAGCCATTGTAAAGGAAGAGAAGGCAGGCCCAAGTGTAGACACCCAGCTGATTAAGTGCCAACTATATACTAGGTACAGCCTTAGACTCTTAAAAAAGATAATCAGGAAGCATATAATCCAGCAAGGAAAACAATTAAACAGGTATAAGTATGAACTGTGGTGAGTACTATGATAGGACAATCAAGGATGCTATGAGAAGTCATAAAAGGGCAACCTGACTTACTCTTGGAGGAGGTAGTGAAGCCTCCTTGAAAGAAGAGATATTTAGGATGTGAAAAATCAGGAAGTTCCTTCAAGACATGCTTAATTTTGTATGCTTTATTGTGAAGGCTATAGGAGTAATGGGAGAAAAACAAGGAAAAATGCTAGAAACACAGGTCCAGGCTAAACTAAGAAAGAAAAAAAATAGGCATCAGCGTTCATTAGCCACTTAATATGGGCCAGGAATTGCGATGAATATATTTCTGCAATCTATATTTTATTTAATCCTGACATCAACCCTAGGAGGTATTGACACTAGTATCAAAGTTATTATTGCTATTATTATTACTAGCAGTAGTAGTAGAAGCAGTAGCAGCAGCAGCAGTAGCAGCAGCAGCAGCAGCACCAGCAGTAGCAGTACTAATATTTGACCTAAATGTACAAATAGTTGATGATTAAATACATTATAACAGGTCATTAAACAGCAAACATGGTAATACCCCATTTTATAGAAAACTGTAGAAAAACTATGTCCGACAGGATCTGAAAGTCTTACATCCAGGTGTTAACAGTTAACAGTCATTGTTTCTGGGTAGGGGAGATTACGAGCACTCTCTAAGGTCATCTTTTGCTTATGTATATGTGTGTGTTTTGTTTTTTAATACGAAAATATAAAACATAGTAAAATAAAATATTTCTTGGACACTTAGCTGGATCCAACTTTTCCTTTCACAAAAAGCACAAAAAAGGAATAATTGAATGAAAACAAATTAGAAATAAAAATTCAATACATAGAAAATATTCTGAAAAAATGGAATATAATGCTTCAAGATGCAAAAAGAGTTTTAAAAGAACTCAGACTCAATATTGCACCCAAATTGCCAATTCTTTAAAAGCTAATGATTTTAGTTGTTATAGACTGAATTGTGTGGCCCACCCCAACCTCCCCACCGCCCACCACTTCCCAAAAATTCATAGGTTGAAGCTCTAACCCTCAATGTGACTGTATTTGGAGATAGGGCCTTTAAGGAGGTAATTAAGCTAATTGAGGTCATAAAGCTGGGGCCCTAATCCAATAGGACTGGTGTTGTCCTTATAAGAAAAGTCCTTGCACACAGAGAAAAGGCCATATAAGGACATATCAAGAAGACAGCCATCTGCAAGCCAGGCGAGAGACTGTAGAAGAAACAAAACCTGCTGGCGCCTTGACCTTGCACTTCCAGCCTCCAGAACCGTAAGAAAATACATTTCTGTTGTTTAAGCCACTCAGTCTACGGTACTTGGGTATGGCTGCCTGAGAAGACTAATATATTTAGATAGTTTATGTTTGACCAAATCATCAAATTGACCTATTTGTTTTCAGAAAAAGAAAATCTGCTTTAGCTTTATGGAATGTTTTGCTTATTTGTTTTCTTTGGGTTTTATATTTTCTAGTGAGAGGAGGGAAGATACTCTACCTTAAGTGGTAGCAGAGTGTGGTTGTGGTCCCACTGGAGCAGATGTGGAAACAAAGGGAAATGTGATGATTACTTTTATGTGTCAACTGGGTCACGATGTACCCATAAATTTGATTAAACATTATTCTAGTTGTGTCTATGCTGATGTTTCTGGATAAGATTAACATTAACATCTCTTCCTGTTTTTCAGCTGAGACATCAATCTTCTGCAGTTGAACTCAGACTTGGACTGAGACTTACAACATTGGCTCTCCTGGTTCTCAGACCTTCAGACTCAGACTGAAACTTGCATTTATGTCTTCTAAGATGAAGGAGTTCTTGCATCTGGCCCTTCTTACAACAACAACAACAAAAAAAAAAAAGAGACACAATACCTAGTAGGCCTTTTTCAACTTTGGAGGCAACATAGTCTTCATTTGGAGGCATTACTCCGTCCCGCTTACCAGCTAATCCAAAAAGCTGCTAGTTGTTTTCTTTTTCTTTCTTTGTTTTGAGGCAAGGTCTCACTCTGTTGCCCCATGCTGGAGTACAATAGCACAATCATGGCTCATTGCAGCCTCAACCTTCCAGGCTCAATTGATCCTCCTACCTCAGCCTCTTGAGTAGCTAGAACCATAAGTGTGTGCCACCAAGCCTGGCTATTTTTTTTTTTTTTTTTTTTGCCTGTAGATATGGGGTCTCCCTATGTTGCCCAGTCTCAAACTCCTGGACTCAAGAGACCTCCCACCTCAGCCTCCCAAAGTCCTAGGATTACAGATGTGAGCCACTGTGCCTACCCAGCTGCTAGTTTTGAGTGGGGCCCAAAATAACAGAAGACTACAACAGATCCAGTCTGACATGCAATCTACTCTGTCAGTTGGTCCATATGATTCAGCAGATCCAGTGCTGCTTATGGTGTCAGTTTTCAATTAGGGTGCTGTTTGGAGCCTTTGGCAGGCCTATGTGAGTCACAGCCCAGGTCCATAGGATTTTGGAGCAAAGCCCTGCCATTCTCTACAGATAACTACTCTCTTTTTAAGAAATAGTTCTTGGCCTGTGACTGAACCTTAGTAGAAACTGAATGCTTAACCATGGATCACCAAGTTACCAGGTAACCTGAGTTGCCCATCATGAACTGGGTGTTATCTGACCCACCCAGCCATAAAGTTGGGCATGCATAACAGCACTCCATCATTGAATGGAAGCAGTATATACATGACTTGTCCCAAGCAGGCCCTGAAGGCACAAGCAGGCTACATGAAATGCCTGTGGTCCCCACTGCTGCTACACTGCCTTCTTTCTCCCAGTCTCACCTGTGGCCTTATGGGGAGTTCCCTAAAATCAATTGACAGAGGAACAGAAGACTTGAACCTGGTTCTGCACAATATACAAGCACCACTTGAAAGTGGATAGCTATAGCACTTCAGCCTCTTTCTGAGACATTCCTGGAGGACATTGGTGAATAGAAATCTTCCCAATGACCAGAGTTTTGAGCAGTGCACATGGTTGCTCATTCTGCTAGGAAGGAGAAATGACCACATGTGCAATAATATGCCAGTATATGGGCTATCGGCAATGGTTTGCCTGGATGGTCAGGGATTGGAAGGAACATGATTGGAAAATTGGTAGCAAGGGAATGTGGGGAAGAAGTACATGGATAGACCTATCTGAATGGGCAAAAATCTTGAAGGTGTCCGTGTCCTATGCGAATGCTCACCAAAGGGTGACCTCAGTGAAGAAGATTTTAATCAAGTGCATAGGATGCTCTATTCCATAGAGATCAGTGAGCCTCTTTACTCAGTCACCCCTATCATTGCCCAGTGGCCTCAAGAACAAAGTGGCCAGGATGGCAAGAAAGAAGGCTATGAATGGGCTCAGCAACATGGACTTCCACTCAACAAGGTCAACCTAGCTGTGACCACTGCTAAGTGCCTGATATTCCAGTAGCAGAGACCAACACTGAGCTCCCAGTATGGCACCATTCCCAAGGCTAATCAGCCAGCTACCTGATGGCAGGTTGATCACATTGGCATGCTTTCATCATGAAAAGGTCAGTGATTGTTCTTACTGGAACAGACACTCTGGGTACAAATTTGCCTTCCCTGCATGCAATGCTTCTGCCAAAACTACCATCCATGGATTTATAGAATTCAGTATTCACACAGTATTGCTTCTGCTAATCAAGGAATTCACTTCACAGCAATGGAGCTGTGCTCACGAAATTCACTGGTCTTACCATGTTCCCCACCATCCTGAAGCAGTTTGTTGGATAAAACAGTGGAATAGCCTTTTAAAGGTTGTTATAGCAGGGCCGGAGCAGCATTCCGCCAGACGGCTGCATATGTTCTGAACCAGCATTCAATATATGATGCTGTTTCTCCTTATAGCCAGGATTCATGAGTCCAGGAATCAAGTGATGGAAATAGGAATGTCACCACTCACTACTATCCCTAGTGACCTACTAGCAAAATTTTTACTTCCTGTTCCCATGACCTTATGTTTTGCTGGCTTAGAGATCTTAGTTCCAAAGGGAGAAATGCTTCCACCAGGAGACACAATAATAATTCCATTGAACTGGAAGTTAACACTGCCACCCAGCTACTTTGTATTCCTCAAGCCTCTCACTCAGCAGGCAAGGAAAGGAGTGACTATGCTGGCTGGGATGACTGATCCTGATTACCAAGGTGAAATTGGACTACTACACCACAGTGGAGGTAAGGAAGAGTATGTCTGGAATACAGGAGATCCCTTAGGGCAGGGGTGTCCAATATTTGGCTTTTTTGGGCCACACTGGAAGAACTGTCTTGGGCCACACATAAAATACGCTAACACTAATGATAGCTGATGAGCTAAAAAAAAAAAATCGCCAAAAAATCTCATAATGTTTTACGAAACCTTATGAATTTGTGTGGGGCCACATTCAAAGCCATCCTGGGCTGCATGCGGCCCGTGGACCACAGGTTGGACAAGTTTGCTGCAGGGCATCTCTTTAGTATTACCATGCCCCATTATTAAGGTCAGTGAGAAGCTGCAACAACCCAATCCAGGCAGGACAAAAAGTGGCCCAGACCCTTCAGGAATGAAGGTGTGGGTCACTCCACCAGGCAAAGAACCATAACCAGCTGAGGTGTTTGCTGAAGGCAAAGGGAATACAGAATGGGTAGTGCAAGAAAGTAGTTATAAATACCAGCTACAACCACATGACCAGTTACAGAAACTGTAATTGTCATGAGTATTTCTCTTTATTTTATGAATATATTTGTGTGTATGCAAAATATCTTTGTTTCCTTCCCTCATTCCCCTATCATGTCACATATTGACTATATATCATAGTATTTAAGTACTATATCATTAATTTGTTGGGGCACAATGGCTCATGTCTGTAATCCCAGCACTTTGGGAGGCTGGGACAAGAGGATTACTTGAGCCGCGAAGTTCAAGACCAGCTAGGCCACAAAGGGAGACCCTGCCTCTACAAAAAATTTAAAAACGATCCAGGCATCGTGGCATGCACTTGTGGTCCCAGCTACACAGGAGGCTGAGGTGGGAGGATCACTCAAGCCCAGGAGGTGGAGGCTGCAGTGAGCCAGGATTATACCACTGCACTCCAGCCTGGGCCACAGAGTGAGACCTTGTCTCAAGAAACATTATAATGTATTGCTAATTTTATATCATAGCACTTAAGTTATGACATCTCAAGAAGAGTAAACATCACTCAAGTACTTTACCTCTTCTTCTAGGGAAGGGGTTAGTGCATTTTTCCTTGTAGGAGAGTTGTATCATATTGGGTGGAACTGTGGTCTTGTCATTTTATATGGAGATTAAGTGTGGTTAAAGAGATGCATGTTGGGTGCCAAGCTGACAAAGAGTTAACTCGTGATGGTCGTGTTCATGTGTCAAATTTATTGGGCCATGGGATGCCTACATATTTGGTTAAACACTATTCTGGGTGAGTCTGTGAGGGTTAGATATTAATCTGGGTGAGATTGATATTTAAATTGGTAGACTGAAAAAAAGGAGATTACCCTCCCCAGTGTGGATGGGCATCATCCAATCTGTGGGAGACCTGAATAGAACAAAAGGTTGAATAAGGGAGGATTTACTCTTTCTGCCTGACTGTGTTAGAGGTGGGACATCTATCTTCTCCTGCCTTCAAACTCAGACTCAGATTGGATCTTACACTATTGGCCTTTCTGGTTCTCAGGTCAAAATACAACTATACCATCAGCAATCCTGAATCTCCAGCTTGCTGAAGGTAAATCTTAGGACTTTTCAGCTTTCATAACCAGGTAAGCCAATTTCTTTTTTAAAAAATAATTTTAACTTATATTTTAGATTCAGGGGGTACATGTTCACATTTGTTACATGGGTATATTGCATGATGCTGGAGTTTGAGATAGGAATGATCCTGTCACCCAGGTAGTGAGCATAGTACCCAATAGGTAGTTTTTCAGCCCTTGCCTCATTCCCTCTCTCTCCACTCTAGTGGTCCTCAATGTCTGTTGTTGCCATCTTCATGTCCACGTGTACCCAATGCTTAGCTACAACTTACAAGTGAGGTTATACAGTACTTGGTGTTCTGTTTCTGCCTGAATTCACTTAGGATAATGGCCTCCAGCTACATCCATGTTGCTGCAAAGGATATAATTTCATTCATTTTTATGGCTGCATAGTATTCCATGTTATATATGTACCATATTTTCTTTGTCCAGTCCACCCTGGATGGGTACCTGGATTGATTCCATGTCTTTGTTATTGTGAATAGTGCTGCAGTCAACATGAGTGAATGTGTCTTCTTGGTAGAATGATTTATTTTTCCTTTGTGTATATGCTCAGTAATGGGATTGCTAGGTTGAATGGTAGTTCCACTCTCAGTTCTTTTTTTTTTTCTCCCCAGCTAATTTTTTTTTTAGAGACAGGGTCTTGCTATGTTGCCCAGGCTGGTCTTAAACTCCTGGACCCAAGCAGTCCTCTCACGTTGGCCTCCCAAAGTGTTGGGCTTTTAGGCATGAGTCACTGCCCCTGGCCTCAACTCAGTTCTTTGAAAAATCTCCAAACTGCTTTCCACAATGGCTGAACTAATTTACATTCCCACCAACAGTGTATAAGCATTCCCTTTTCTCCACGGCCTCACCAGCATTTGTTATTTTTTGACGTTTTAATACTAGCCATTCTGATTGATGTGAGATAGTTTCTCAGTTGTGATTTGTATATGCATTTCTCTGATGATTAGCGTTGTGGAGCATTTTTTCATATGTTTGTTGGCTGCTTGTATGTCTTCTATTGAGAAGTGTCCGTTCAGTCCTTTGCCCATTTTTCAATGGGGTTATTAGTTTTCTGCTTGTTGAATTAAGTTCCTTACAGATCCTGGATATGAGACCTTTGTTCGATGCATAGTTGGCAAATATTTTCTCCCATTCTGTGGGTTGTCTATTTACACTGTTGATAGTTTCTTTTGCTGTACAGAAGTTCTTTAGTTTAATTAGATCCCACTTGTCAGTTTTTTGTTTTGTTGCAATTGCTTTTGAAGACTTAGTGATCAATTCTTCCTCAAGGCTGATATCCAGAATGGTGTTCCTATGTTTTCTTCTAGGATTCCTATAGGTTGAGGTCTTACATTTAAAAATTTGATACATCTTGGGTTAATCTCTGTATGTGGTAAAAGATAGGAGTACAGTTTCATTCTTTGCATATGGCTAGCCAGCTATCACAGCACCATTTATTGAATAGAGTGTCCTTTCTCCATTGCTTATTTTTGTCAACTTTGTCAAAGATCAGATGGCTGTAAGCGTGTGGCTTTATTTCTGGGCTCTCTATTCGGTTCCACTGGTCTCTGTGTCTATTTTTGTACCAGTACCATGTTGTTTTGGTTACTGTAGCCTTGTATTTTGAAGTTGGGTAGTGTGATGGCTCCAGCTTTGTTCTTTTTGCTTAGGACTGCTTTGGCTATTTGTGCTCTTTTTTGGTTCCATATGAATTTTAGAACAGTTTTTTCTAATTCTGTAAAAATGATATTGGTAGTTTGATAGGAATACCACTGAATCTGTATATGAGCCAATTTCTTATGATAAGTAAGTATATATGTAATATATAATATATAACATATAATATATAATATATAATGTATAATATATAATAGATACATATATAATATAATATGTAATAGCTACATATTTATAATAGCTAATATTTACATACATATAGCTCCTATTGGTTCTTTTTCTTTGTAGAACCCAGACTAATAAAAGAACCAAATCTATGTCCAAGGCACGGCAACGTTGTAAAACATAGTAAAGCAAGAAATCATCAGAACCTGGCGTGGGACTGAAGTGGAAGATGAAGGGATGTTCATTGGCAAGAATCAAATCTGCATCTTACATGGGAGGCACAAGAGTAGGTTGGGAAGGTGAGATTTGGTGAGACAGCCTGAAGCAACTGCACTCATCAAAGAGCAGAAGAATTGGCTTCTATGCCTGTGGGATAGTAGAGAACTTTAAAAGGCAGTCTGGACAAAAACATGAGAGTTGTTACTACTAGGAAGGAAGGGAGGGAGGGAGGGAGGGAGGAAATGGAAGGAGGGTTACTGTGATATCAACAGCACATCTGAATTATCTATCATTAGATAGCTAACTGTCTAATGATAGATAATTAGATAGCTATCATTACTAGCTATCTAATAAGATGTGAGAAAAACTAAAATTGTTGCTTATTACTTCACATTCTGCCCCTAAGCTGCCACAGACAATATTTTGAATAATTTTACTTAATTGCACATTCATTTAATCAATATGCCCCTATATTTCAGCCCCATCTCCAATTATATGATTATGTCATTGTTCCTAATATTCTTTTTTTTTTTTTTTTTTTTTGGAGTCTCGCTGTGTCTCCCAGGCTGGAGTGCAGTGGCGTGATCTCGGCTCACTGCAAGCTCTGCCTCCCGGGTTCTAGCGATCCTCCTGCCTCAGTCTCCCAAGTAGCTGGGATTACAGACGTGCGCCACTGCATCTGGCTAATTTTTTGTAT